CTGAAGGCTCTGGCTGCACATCCCGACACTCACACCATCATTAGGGGACTATTGCAGAGCATCTTGCTTACGCTTGAGCGCCAATGCCCGGAGCCCTTCAACAAACAGGCAGAGCCTCACAGCTCTGAGCAGAATTGCGAGATTTCATATTCCATGGGGGATTGTGAATGTGTGTGCCGGGATTGTAACATGCAATAAAACCGAAGCATAAATAGTTGATGTGGGCCCACATTTTGTGGAGAGAGGCGGGGTGGGGAGGTGTGAGTCAGTGAGAGAGCGCGAGAGATGGGGGGTGGGGCGAAGAGATGGCTCTTGATACAGTATATTCGATAAATTGCATAAATAGATGTATAGCTGTATTTTATGTGTGCCATAATTTTGATACATAAAGTCTTTAAAAATGTTTTTAAGTGAAAGTGTGCACAATTTGGAGGTCAAATTGGCTGACTACAGCAACTGAGCCCGACCCCAAGTAAACATTTTGAACGCTTCGCACCTGTTCTCTAAAGTGGCCACTAGAGGGTGCTTGAGTTCTTTAGCTTCACGGCTGAGGCTGCGAAATGGTCACCGGTTAAATGTCAAGTTCATTTACAAAGCATTTGTAAGAACAACCGCAGCTTAGACTAAGTGCTGTGCATCAATACAAAAAAAAAAAAAAATCGAAAGTAAGACAATTGAACTTACTCTAATTTAGAAACAAAGACAATAACAATTTCAAGACATCTGAATCTAAAGTGCAACAATCAGAGCTATAACTGCCAAGACAGTTACGGTTTGGAATGTACAAATGCATGTACAAATTGTGAAGCAACCAACAGGGAAAAATAAAACACTTTTCTGAGGGACATTCTAGTTCAAGTTGATGCCAAAGTTGTGACAGCAGTCTACGCTCAAATTGGATTACTTCATATGAAATTGCATTTCTGATGTAAAAATGTCAACTCATAGCTGACTTGAAGGTGCAAGTCATATTTAAATATAAAACTGCCACATTTGTATTCACTTTCATGCTCAGAATTTAGATTTAACCAAATCCACTTAATATGTTAACGAAAGAGCTTTGGGCAGATTTCCTTCTTTGGCTTTCTGGTTCTCGATTGGCACTGTTTAAGCTGCAGGCTTAGCTGGCTGCTGACATCACACTCATATCACTCTGATCATCTCGCTCGCTATTTAGAAAAAAAAAAAAGCACAATCATACTTCCCAAAATGGCAACATTTTCTTTCAAATGATAGAATAAAGATAGAAACAGAGATGTCACAAGAAAACTGTCAAAAATACCTTGAGGAAAAATAAACAAAGCCTGAGGGGTGGCTAAAAAGAGACCGGCTCCAGATAATAGGAATAAAAGGAGTCGAAATATACGTAAGAGCATTTCAGGCTTGGCACTGTGAATAAAAAAATAGCAGCACAATTCGCCAAGTCCACGTGTCTGTCTTGGTCCCTTCGAATTGCAGCTTATGGATTTTCATTATCTCACTTGTGCAGATGCCTCTGTCGGATCAGCAATACATGTGAACCTGTCTGGGCACCACCAATGCCCATTCTTGCCATTGTTATTGTGGAGTATTTTTCAGTGCGCAGAAGGACACACCATATCCTTTGAAATGACTTTGGGAAGAGGCACAGAGCCGGCAGGGCCGTCAGCCTCTGTGCGGACATGGGAAAGCATCAGCAGCATCCGCCATTCTGCCAAGCCACTTCCTGTTGTCTGTCAATCATCATCACAGAGGACAGATAATAGACACATAACAGGCACTGTAATAGACACTAACAGGCACAGGAACGGAACAGAAGGCCTTCTCTGCTGGCCCGAGCATCCTGCCCGAACACAATTAGAAGCACTGGCCAACATTTACACTTGAAAGGGTAATTCATATACAATTCATAGTGTGTGTCTTGGCTGCATAGCTTCCAGTTTTTTACTTTTTTGCTGTCCAATAAGATTTCAGTTTCTATGTGTTACCGTGTAAATGTATAATCTGCCCAAAACCTTCACAATCCTGAGCGCTGGTGTTGAGCATATACACAGTATGTATTTTTTTAGCCTATCAGATTTTAAATAGAAACTTTTTTTTTTTAATAATCTTTATTGAACAATTTAAATTGAAACTGCGCCTTCTCAAAGGTTCATAGTGACGTCTTTAATTTTCCAGCCTCTGATTGGTTCAGCTAAATAGCCTCTTTACCCCTCTGATTGGTTACACTTCCCATGCACAACAAAAATTGTTTTACGGGCAATGACGACGTTGAACGAGATTAAAAAAAAATTTAAGGTGCATTTTTAAGAATAATGACATTATAAGGCAGGTTCAACCAAATATCGTTGCTGGCTGGCTTGTTTTGACCCGTAAATGGATTTGTGGGCCACTGGCAGAGCAGTATGTATGAGCGCTAAAGCTAGCTATAGTAGACAGGCAGGACCAAAGAAAGTAGGTCTGACGTGTCTGCATCAGCACCCCTGGTGAGTACGATATATTTTATTTTAAGTTTATGTGTCGATAAATTGGAGTTATTTGGAGGTGATGTCATGGAAGACAAAGCGTTCCTTTCGTAAAAATGGTATCTTCATCTTCAAATATGTGAAATGCATCTCTTCACTACCACGCATAGTTATGTTGCATTTTTTGTAGATTATTTTGCGATCTGATGGTGTTTTTAAGAGATTAGGTCACTTAAATCCCCACTAAAGGCCCAGAGCCAAAACTCCCCACCGCCTGCCAGTGGAACAAATGGTATACATACTAGAAATACTGTATAATTTAACAATAACAATAGAAACAAATCAGGCTTTAGTGTGACAAAAGTAACAACCCTTGACTGGAAAAAGCAAGTTGAATACAGAAGGCATCGCCATACAAAGTTGGCATGTTTGCCAGTGTCTGCCTAAGCATTTTATATAACTTGTGCTCATGCTAATTTGATGCTGACATGTCTATGCAGCAGTGATTATAAGTGACTTATTTTTCAACAACCGGAATGCAGGCTCCCGTTTCCTCATCCCCCATGTCTAAATTTGTAAATCATTCTGCTCCTCGATGCGAAGGATTTTCTTCCTGTTTGGTTAGTGTGTGTGTGTGTGTGTGTGTGTGTGTGTGTGTGTGTGTGTGTGTGTGTGTGTGTGTGAAGCCGATGAAATGGCCTATTATGGCGAGTTAGAGACGCTCATACTTGATGTCACATCTCCCGTCAGCAAGCGACATGGCGAGTATTCCGCCTTGAGTTCAATAAAGCCACACAAGTGTGCAGAAGCATAAACAGCCACAGGCTGGGAAATTTCTACATTGGATAGCATTTGTCCATGTACAAAAGCGACCACGGCCAGACAGATCAGTGCGGACTGTATGTACTGACCCCTAGGTTAGCATGCATGGATGGATGGACTTGGAAATAGCCACATCTTTTTTTTTTTTTTTTACAGTGCAGTATATCATTTTATCATGAGAAAATACTTTGATATAAAGCGATATACTGAATATATTGAATGCTGCTTAGTGTGTTGGTTCCAGGAAGTATCCATTAGTGAGCGCCGGTAAGTCTGACACCAGGGAGTTGAAACTGGAGAACCTGCCTGCAACTAAGTCACTGTGTATCTCAGTGACCGCTCGTCTTTTCAAATAGCATTCAAATGGGGCCATAAAAGAAAAAGCCGGTATCTAACAGTGCCGCTTAATCACCCGGAGGTACTGAAGATCAAGACCAGGAAGGGTCATTCAACTAGTATGCTTCTCAGTATGGTTTAGGTTTAGACATATTGGTGTCACCTTGCAGCTATTTTTTTTTTTCACGGTCTTGTCACAGCTAGCACCACAGCTAGCTTACTGACCTTAAAGCTCTTTCTATAATTCAACAGGCCATCATTCTTATTATATTTGTATACAGTCAACCTCTCACCTCCATTGCCGGTTCCGGATTCACAGTCCAATTTATTTATTTTCTTTTGCAGTTGACATAACAATTTTGTTCTGCCTCCTCTTTATTTTGGGTGTAATTTGACCATCGACTACTATATGGCGGCACACTATGACGTTTGACACTGTACATTTGAAAGAAGAGTGAAAACAGGAAGTATTTCAAGCTCAGACCGTTTTTTTTTTTTTAATGAAGCTTTTTTAAAAAAAAGAAAAAATATATATTTTCTTTATTTTTTGGTGATGATCTTGTCTATTATGGTTTCTGTTGAAAGATGTACAATGCTAACATATGTACATTTGGAGAAAAAAAGTTTGCTGAAGATTAGTGAATGTAAAAATCCTGCTTTTTATGCCCATGGAAAGCAACAGCTCTAGGTTCATGTTGTCATGAATGTCTTTCGGCATGATTATTGATTTATGTTGTGAGATATGTTTGTTAGTTTAAAAAAAAACTGTCAACGACTGGAGGGATGGACTGTTTTTGCACACTGTACAATATTTTTGTCCTCTCCAATGGTCTTCCTCTCCCTCAATATATGATACGGATTTAAATGTGTTGGTATCATTTTTGTTTAACCCTTTCATGCACCCTGTAACTTGATAACACGATAAGCCGTCCACTGTAGTAACTGCTGTCCCTGAAAGGGTTAAAGACTTTTAAAAAAGTGTTTTAAATGCAATAAGAACACGCCTAGGGAGTATTTAAAAAGGGTATTTCTATCTCATGTTTTTCTCTTAATGCAGGCTTGGTCTGGGTTTACTATATAATTATTTGATATTTTGCACTATATACCTAAAATATGTATTTTCTCAATTTTCACAGTGTGTCTTTGATGAACCATAAGTTTACAAATGCATACAAAATAACCAATTTGCTTGGGATCAACAACAGTGACAACAAACAATACAGAATCTGATATTTGAATTAGCGTTTGCCAAACTAAGATTGCTTTTCAATTTGATCATTGATTTGATCATTTTTATTTGATTTAGTCATTAATGTGAATGAGAAACCGCTGCCAGAAAGTCAGCCGAGTGTGCGTAGCCGCTATCAGGTTGGAAAACACACACCAACATCGGGTAAATGAGTTCACTCAGCAAATGCTTTTTAATAAATCAATGAATGTCACGGATCAGTTTTGCATAATAAAAGACAACAGCTTTGAGTCAGCGCTTGTTACAGCAAACTGTATTGTATCAGCAATTCATTTCATCAGTTGCATCATCTTAAAGACGATGCGCCGCCTCTTTTAAGAGACGATTAACAGGTCAAAGATACATAGAGATGAAGTTTGCCCACGGCTTATTACATAACAATGAACGTGTTTGTTTTGTTTTTTAACCATCATGCAAGTGACTTTTCATTTTTTTTAACCGTCACTGCAGTGATACCCTTAACACTTTTGTACCCTTAACACTTGACTTTTACAACTTGAGAATTTATTTGTAACTTTAGTAACCTCGAAACTGTGTGAATAGTTAGTTACACAAGTGTCCCAATATTTAGCCCTGTAGTGAAATTGACTTGTGCTGAACTTTACTTCTGTCAACATTTGCAAGGTAGTGGGCCACCCATCAAACACTCAAATGGTGAGTAATTACACGTGAAAAAATAATTACTTCGGTTGTTTGCTAGCCCACTCGCTAGGTAGCTGGCGAGTTTGAGCGGATGAGCTTACTAACACCCAAGATTGGGTTAATTCCTTTGACCCACCAGATTGTATTGAAGATCCTGTTCTAGGCTGTCTGATCACTATTTTTGACAATTTTCTTGTGTATTAGAGTTGAAGTAATTTGAATGTGACATTCTTTGAAAACAGTATTCCAATTGCGGTCAGGCCAGACAGCCCACCCTCAAAAAGTGAGTAGGTGTGCGTAAGCAAGGGCATCCGGTGTAAAAACGGTGACAAAACAACGCGATCGAGTTGCTGGCAGAGGAAAGTGGCTTCTTCTCCTTAGAAAATGTTGCTAATAAAATTAGCTAGCTATATTAGCTAACCTGGTAACCCATTTCCTGGTTCCTGTAATGCATCAGAATGGATGTTTTTTTTTACCTTGTGTTGGATCAAAATCTTGACCAAACATGCTGGGTCAAATCTTCAACCCAATGCACTGGGTAGAAATAACCCAACATTGGCTTGGTTCTTTTTGGACCCAGCACTGGGTTAGCATTTTCACCCAATTTGGGTTACTTTCGACCCAGTAATTTTAAGAGTGCAACATACTCCCAACATCAGCGTTGTATCTGTCTACGAAAATCGGGCCCACCGTCTTCACAGTTATCCTGACTGACCCCTTGACCCAGTCAAACGAGACAAGAATAAATCATGCTTTTTCATACACGGTCCACCATAACCTCCATTATGTGCTTGGAGCCGGTTCCACCTCTCTGATGAGAGTTCCATGTAGAAGGACATCCCGGAGATCCTGGAAGCAAACGGGAGGCACTGTGAGAATCCAAAGTGGCCAAGGTGAAGCGGACACCTAAACAGTGTGTTTTAACAAAACGTTCTCATGGTCACTCCTGGCCCGTGTGGGCCGCCCTGACTCCGTGGCCACTTCCTCTTCATCGTCCAGTTCCAGCTGCTCATCTTCCTTCTTTATGTAGCGCTCGTAAAGCACCATGATGACCCCCATCACCCAGGCCAACACGGTGCCGGCGGCGAAAATGACAAAGCCGATGATGACGAAGAAAAGATAGTCCCAGGAACCTAAAGTGTGGTGGCACAACGTCCGTAGTTCGAGGCCCACCTCGCCGAGACGACGGCCCTCCAGGTTGTCTGGGGAACCGCACACGGTCTGTCCCTCATCTGTGACACACACACACACACACACACACAATTAATCAGCATCAGATGGCAGAAATGCACTGGATTTCCATTAGATTAGTTGTACGTTAAGAAGTGGCAAACATGATAAATAAGGTCACCGAAATGCAGGGGTACACGGGCCTTTCGCCTTTTTCGTCTTTTTGGGCCAAAAATTCCATGTACATCATCTGAAACATGTCAATAGCGCAAAGCATTTAAATGAAAAACAATGAATGGATGTCATACTCACCAGGCATGGTGATTAGGTCATGTGTACAAATATCTGCAGACTACAGCTGTAACCATCACTTCTTTCTAGAATCGATGATTCTATTTTTATGAGCAGAGCGCGTCTGCCTATCGCAGCACACTGCATCAAAGTTTTTTCTTTTTAGTTTGCAAAGACTTATCTGAACCAGAATCATATGTCCTCTTGCTTGTGTGTGTTAAAAACCATTTGCACTCACAATCACACTGAGGGAGAATTTAGAGTGTTCTGTTAAACTGCCATGCATGTTTTTGGAATGTGGGAAAAAAAACAGAGTACCCGGAGAAAACCCATGCGAGCACGTGGGAGAACATGCAAACTCCACACATGAAGCCGGAATTGAACCTTGCACCTCCACACTGTGAGGCAAACGTGCTAACCTGTCCACTATCGTGCTGCCCGCAATCACAATATTGAGGAAGAAAAATCAATTAGACTACTTTTTGAAAATAATCTAGATGGATTGACGCTTATCATGCAATGCAGTTTTATGAAGACGAGAAATGTCTGCTTGGATGACTAACATGGTGCCAGAGCACCCTCGAGCAAAATTTTAGTCTGTTTTTCCTAGCCCGACTACAGACGTGTTTTTCACGTCAAAATAGAGTGTTTGCCTTGACCAACCTATCAGAGGACAGAAAAATATTGATGTTATTGAGGGCCACCTGCAAATTTTAAATCGGATTGGTGAAAGAAACGATCCCATGGTTTATCGTTCAAGCTACACTTAGTGATTCTGAAGGCCCTGGGCAGATTAAATGGACATGGCAACACATAGAAGCTGAAATCTGATTGGACAAAAAGTCCAATGTCCACATACAGTACTGGAAGCAGTGTAGCCAGGTGAAATCTAATGGACTGAAAATACTACACTGTTGGGAATATATTAATCCAGTTTCATGGAACAGATATTAGAATTTAGGTTACAAATGTGGATCGGTGCTTCTCATTATGTTTTGGTCAGTAGAGAAGACCTCACTGACCCAAACATTCTGCCACTGCCAAAATGTGAGAAACGTCTCTCAGTATGATGCAGTGCAGTCCATGCACTGAAACTGAACGTTTGTTCCCACCCTTGGATTGGATCACATCATTTAGATCACGCAGGCGGTCATTATGTTGCAGCTGGCGGGTCCACATTCATAACCAACTCTTTTGTCACTGGAAATGGGGGCGCTGGCAGAAGCAGTTTGGAACACAAAAATCTCCTCCTCGGTTAATCAGCATGATCGGAAGTTTGCGTGAGTGTAGTAATGAAATTGCGATGAAAGCGATAGCAGCACGTGCGCAGCAAGATGGTGACTTTCAGCACAATTTGATTGTGGCTTCTTTTAGAACAGCTGCAAAGATCTCCGAAGAAAGAAACATGACTTTGGCAGAAAATGCTTAGTTCTCTCTGTTCCCGTGAACCATAAATAGCATCCCAGAGGCCTTCAAGTTTAACCCAAGAGCTTGATAAATAATTCAAAGGGTGACGTATTCTTTTGCATAGAACATATTCACTCAGCCCCATCGTTCATGTGCAGCGGCTACACGTGCTTAGCAATGGTTCGAACGAAAAAAGCCACAAGCTTCAACGTAACGCTGTCTTCACGCGGCATTAAATTACCAAGAAAAAAAACACAGGTTGAATTATTCAAACCCCCTTTCTTCTTCACAGGCTTCTCTGTGCATGTGCATGAAACAAGTGAACAAAAGGGAAAAACTTGAAGCTAATAAGAGTCAAATTCCTTGGCTTTCAATAAATGGCGGGGTATATTTTTCCAAGGCCTACCAGTCAATTTTAAACACGTCTGTTTGGCTCGGCGGCGCTTCAAAAGAGAAGCCCCTTTCAAGAAAATAATCCTTAACGCCGGGTTTTTCTTTCAGTCCGCATGAAACGGGAGAAGCACACAATAATACTTATGAATGGATTCTTTTTTTTTTTTTTTTCCCCACAGACTTAGTTTCTTGGAGGGAATTCCCAACAGGAGTGATCCAAAGACTTTTCTGTATTCTATGACCTTCGATCTGCCAAAACAACCTGAAGATCAACAAGCTCACATTTTACTGCAGTCGTTCTCTGTAAAAGCGGACAAACATCGAATTGGACTAGAGGAAGCATTGTTTACTTCTTTCAAAATTGCAGCTTAACCCACAATAATACCCCAGCTGTCTAAGAGCACACAAAATCCAATGCTCCAAAGGCCCTACACTTCACAAACTAAAAACAACAAAAATGAATTATCAGAAAAAAAAAATAATTGAAGGCATTCCCTCAGCACAAAGACTTTTTGTCAACCATGTCTGTCCTTGCACATTCTTCTTATGTCTGTACACGTGTCTGGCAGGGAAAAAAAATAAACCTTTCTGGCCCCATAACATCACTCCTTCTTACAAAAAAAAAAAAACTGGCATCGAAACGTGAGGGCTTTCCCTTTCTGCTTCCCCCATCCTCCCTGAGCTCTATTTCGAGATGCCCCCTCCACACCCCCCTCCCTTACATAACAGCTGAGGGAGCTGCTAATCTCAACAAGGAGTGCGACGCAGAGGAGAATCTGTTGGTTCCTTCCTCGAGCTTTTCTTCTGTCTCTCTCTCTCTCTCTCTCGCCATTGATGTGTCCCTTAAAATGAAGAGACAGGCCAGTCGGATTGCGTCAACCAGGTGCTACACAGATGAGTCATAACATGGCAACACGGCAACGCAGGTGTCCCTCACCAACAAAACCCCAGCACAAGAAGTGGTCTTTCTAAAAAGCGGTTTGAGGGGAGCAAATCGTAATAAAGAGGCATCATCAGACAGACGTGTCCTTCCCTTGCTGGCAGCTGTTGTGGCGAGAGACTCGACTCCAAATTAAGTTAGACAAAAGGCAGTGAGCTGCACGGAAATAGGGCAGCTCTTTCAGGACTCGTTTTGGACTTGGCCTAAGCTGCGGGGTTTGAGCGTTTGTAGATGTCTATGCGTGTGCGGGAGAGAGAGAGAGAGAGAGAACGGACATTTTTTTCTTTTTTTTAAGCGTGAGCGCGGCGGCTGCATGATAACGCCGGTGCTAGAATTATGACTGGCTTCTTTACTCCCTATAAATAGCAGCTGCCCTTTTACGCAGTCAACACATGCACAGTAGTTCCAAATCAAGCGAAGAGCTAAATAATCGAGATGATAATGAATCGAATTCAAATCAACATCACGATTGAAATGGAATTTTCAAATTGCAAAGGCTGTCATTTATGAGTGTGCGCGCGCTCTGCTTCATTTAGCTTGGTCAGTAGTGTTCACGTTTAACAATATATATATCCATTTAATTATATCCATCCATCCACTCATCCATCCATTTTCAATACTGCTTATCCTGAATAGGGTCGCGGGGGCAGCTCGAGCCTATCCCAGCTGACTTTGGTTGGAAGGCAGACCACACCCTGAACTGATCGCCAGTCAGTCGGTCGCAGGGCACCTATAGAGGACAAGCAACCATTCACACCGTCACTGAATGGGAACTGATCCCGCGCTGCCCGCTCACGAGTCAGGCGAGTGTAAAACGACACCATCAGCGACACACGTGGCATTGAGATATGTATATATATATATATATATATATATATATATA